CATGTACCTTTTGCAAGTAAAGGATCTACTGTTAGAGAGATCCTAATAGTGCTTGCAACTTTAGAAATATCATTAACTGTCCAACAACATAGAGGGAAGTTAGGGAGTTTAATCCATATTGGAACCTCAGAGAAATCCTCCTTAACTAGTTGAAAGTGTGGAGTACATTTTCTGAAGATGAAAGGCTTACCGTTGATGAACCAAAGACCACCTTCTAAAACCATATGCATTTCTTCCATACAAGAGAAATTAAATAGAAAAAACCCTTTGTGAGAGATATAAGCTTTACCATACCTTTGAGTTTCCAGATTTTGTTAATGGCTTGTAATAAATTCCCATAGTAAGGTAGCTTTTCAAGGGTGTAGCTCACCACAGCAAGATTCCAACGCTTTGATCTGTCCTTGACTTCCTCAGCCTAGAAAAAAACTTTCTCTGATGTGGGGGGAGGGGGGAGGGAGGACGTGGTTGGGTGGAGGAGTGAAGACGGGGAAAAGGATCCATAGCAAACAGGCTTGAAAGCCCCTACATGGGCACCAAATGGGAGGATCCAGTGGCAGCAACAACAACAACAATGAGGGATTTGGAGGAGGCGACGAATGGGAAGAAAAACCATAGCCGCCCATCGTGGTTTTCTCTATTTGTCCCTTATTTGAATCAGTTGGAAACTCAATAAATAATTACGTGTCTCCAAATCAATCTGACAAAAAAAAAAAAAAAAAATTGGGGTTCAAAAAGACAACTTTCTATTAAGACTATCATTGCTCTTTGGTCTTCAAACAAACATGAAAGATTTTTCAAGTAGGTAAAGCTAACTTGATAGAATGTCTTTAAACTACATCAGATTGTGACACTCAACTTTAGGAAGATCCTCAAACTCTAGGTAGTAAACAACTTCATGAATATGGTGATTGAAACCTCCAAAAACTCGGCCGATGATTACAATAATCGGGATATTATAAATCAGTTAAATGGTTACATAGGGGAAAGAGATTATTTCCCATAAACTATGATATCATAAAGTTTAATATCATTTGAGAAGTGAAGCTAGTTGAAAACATGCCTGCAAAATAAACTCATAATTAAAAGGAAATCTACATTCATACCACACAAATCTTATGCATTTAAATATCTAACAAATAAAGTTTGATATTTACACTCATAATTTTTTTTTTTTTGCATAAACCTATACATTAAAAGATGTATTTTAATTTGAAAAAGATCACAATGGTGGTATATACCATTAAAAATTTGAGTGATATGCATGTAAATATGAATGTATAGGCGTTAAGAAATGATATATACGTAAATGCTCTTAATTAAAAATATTTTAAACGTTTAACCCAATAAAAATTTCTCAGAACTCGCAAAATCTTTTCCAAATACAAGTTTCAAAGAAGCTCAAAAAGAACCGAAAAGGGCCTGGCCAAACCATACCATCCACACAGCTCAGCTCTCAATGCACCGCATAACACTAACGTCGCATGCGGAATGTGTCGGTGGTTTTTCTAATGTTAACTTTTAGCAGCTGGGTGAAAAATATTAGTTCGTTGAACAGTTTCTGATGATGGAGCAGCCTATTAAATTATGCGTTAAATAGGTTGATAAATTACTTCAGCTAAAATTTATTTATGATTGATTTAGTTGCAAAAAATTATAAATATGAATTTTAAAATGTGAATTGAATATATACTAAATCATAGTGAAAAAATGTATTGTTATGTTCTCTAAAGGATTATCACTTTATATATATATATATTGTTTTTTTATCTTTTGATGGTTCTGTTTTTTATTTTATTTACGTTTTAAAATAAATTTTGGTTTATAGTGCCATAAATTTTCTGACTAAAAAAAATTAAAATTTAAAGGTTTGATATTTAGTATTCTTATGAATTTTGAAGTCTTAAAAGCAAATATTATATATATATATAGATATATTGTCATGTTTAATTTTTCATATTTTTGTAATCTTAATTTTTAATTAATTTCGCTTATTTGGTATAATATATTGTAAAAATGAATAATTAAAAAAAATAAAAATTTCTATTTCTAAATAAACAAAAATCAGATTATTTAAAGATATAGTATTAGAGTGACATAAAATTCTGTGTGACTTGGCATTTCTATAAAATTTTTGGTCTAATTCAAGGAGAGCAGCGATAAGTAACAATAAGAGAAAAAAAGTTTTTAGATGATTTATTTTACAAATCTGTTAATTTCAACTCTTAAGAAAAGGCAGAAAATTTGTAATATACCCAATTTAACCAAGTTGAAAAACAAACTAGGTTTTAATTCTGATAATCATACTTAGTATGTGAAGATATAAGATGAAAAAAAAGTCAAAATCAACATAAACAGTAACAATAATTACCCGATGGATAAATGAGTTCATATGCTTGAAGGAAGCAGCTTAAAAACTCAATAAAAATATTGAGTAACATGTCTCATATTTTACAAGGAGCACTAAGTGTAGCATGTTTCGAGTCATGCTCAGAGAGAATATTACATGTGGAATCTACGCATGCAGATTGATGGTATTATAGTGGTATTGTGGTGGTATTGTGATGAATGTCACCACAATACCGCATCAATATTACTAAATCTGTATCTATCCACATATAATATTTAGGGTCTGTTTGGGATAGTTTTCTATCTATTTTACATTTCAAACTGTCATCACAGTTTTGTTTTAGGAACTATTTCCTTATTATTTTTTAAAAAGTTTCGTGATAGAAAGCTGTTTTTTCAACCTAAGTTGCTAAAGTGTGATGGTTGTCAGAAAGTTGCGGTCTAACTTTTTGAAAAAAAACATAAATTTATAATAGCCACAAAAATTTTTTGAACAACAGTTTCTTCTACAGCAGATATAGCTACTTTTTCAGACTGCTGCAACTGCCCTAAACAGACCTATTTGAAGGTGTTGTTATAAAATTGTTTTAGCGTTTTTATCATTTGGATTTATTAGGAAATTAAACATACCATTTATTTAAATGTTTACTTCATTTATTGGTTGACAACAAAATAAAAATTTTCAAGATGTTAAAAATGAGTGCTCATCTTACAAAAAAAATTAGAGGTACGCCACTCTGATAAAGAAAAAAACTTTACATATGGAATCCGAACATAGCTCTACATCCTGACTCCAAAAACACAATGTCAAGTGTATTTAAGTGGGCCCTCTTTTAAAAAAATTATAAATTTATGAGTCAAAATGTAAGCGTTTTTTAAATTTTTGTACACTGCAGCTCTGCATCCAGAGTCTATATTCTCCAGGTGACAAGTTTGTATCTGGAGTCTTTATGTAAGATTTTCTTCAGGTAAAGAGACCAAATTGAAAGCGACTACATGGTCTTTGATTTTCAGCTTTTCAATTTAATTTTGTTTTGAGACGAGCTTTAGGGTATGTTTGGGGGCGTGGGAGGAGAATTTTGGGAGAACGCTGGGAAAATTTTCGCGAAAAGCTAGCCGCGGGATTGAGCCTGCAGCCCGTGTTCCGCGATCCGATTTTTACCCAATTGCCCTTCGATCGAAGGTCTTGTTCGTTCGAGTTGTTATGTGAAATGAAGCTATGCTCCTTCCCCTCTCCTTCTCTCGTGTTCGTTAGTAGGTGGCAGTTCGGCTCGTTCATTCTTCTTCCCTCATATTTCCATCGAAAGGAAGCCCATCGGTCTCCTTCCTCTTCCATCCTCTCCTCCCTCGAAGGTATCGGAGAAGGAGAAATAAATGTTTTTTTTTTCTTTCTCTCCCCCGCTTGCCATCTCATGGATCCGACGCGACTCTGCTTGCCATCTCCCTCGAAGGTATGGGAGCGGTTTTCATCATTAATTTCAATTTAATTATAATAGGTGGAAGTCAAAATTACTGTTCTTCAAGGTTTTCAGAGAAATTCACTGTTTTAAGCTAAACTATAATGAATTTGAATTTTTATCAAAATATTTCTTTTTGTTGTTTCTGTTTTTTTTTTTTTTTTTTTTTTGCTTTGTGGGAAAGTTGTGATGGAGGTGAGATTAGATCCCAAAAAGTTCACAAACAACTTCCATAATCTTTACCAGCTATAGTGGATTGCTAGAATACATATTTTATGCAAGCAATTAGGAACGAGTTCAGCTACAGTTTGCCAAAATATATGAAAAAGGCATTACATTAAATACTTCTCATTTTAGGTGAAGTCTCAACCCATTCAATTTAAATTTTTTTTAAAGCTTAATGAAGAATGTCTAAATTCGCCTTCAAATAACCCCACCAACAATAGAACCAGGTTTGTAGTTTCATATCAATGGCTTCTTTAGTGATGATGATGCATAAGGGTAATTTTTCCAAATGGTTTGAAAAGAACAATATTTTCATGATGGCTTGGACATATGTCCAGTAATTAACTGCAATTCTATATTGTCAATTTACAGTTAAATAAATAATTTTATCTTGAAATTGCCTTAACCCTCATTCCTTGTATTGAATAATTTTTTGTACTATGCATTTATTGTACAAAATTGTATGTGTTCTCTCATTTTTGATATGTTCAAAGGTGACACATTTAATTGAATCAAAATTTTCTCATAAGTCTCTCTTTCCTAAAATTCTTTGAGAAGAGCCCTTAGTAAAACTCAGTTAATATCCAAAATATTATATTTAATTCATTTTAATAATATCAACAGTTTCAGTTGCTATGACTTCTTTAAGGGATGATGTTGCTTTAGTTGAAAAAAAGCTCTCCTTATGTTTTTACTTGAAATTCTTTTAAAGTCTTGCGAGTATTGAACAAAATCTATTCCCTTTGGTAATCTATTTAATAACCTTGATGTTTTTAATTTTGATCTGATGTTTGAGAGAAGTTAATGATTTATTTTTAAGGACTTTAATTATAAGTGTGGTAGTCTTAATGCCTTTTTCATATATTTTGGCAAACTGTTGAAGGTTCATACTGAACCTATAAAAGTTGAATTCACTCTCTTCATATATGTTTGAAATGTTATTTGCTCACATTCTCATTTGTTGGCCCAACCATGGATAAGATCATCAACGCTTGCTCTGATTACCTGCAAGATCAATATAGATGGCAGAGGGGCATGAAGGAGGAGCTCGAAAGGCTGCGAGAAAACCACCCTCAGATCCAAGCTGTAGTCTCTACTTCCACCCAAACTCAGATCGGAGATCGAAACCCAGCACTTAACATCTGGATATTGACCAAAGTAAAATATGTTGAGATTTTCGTACCTCTTTTATACTGTTTTTAATGATATTGCACTTTAAAGAAATGTATTTTTGATGTTTTGTTGCAGGAATGATGAATTAAGGTCAATGGAGCAAAAAGATGCAAAAAGGAGCGAATTTGAAGCAAAAAGGACCAAAATGTGGAGAATTGCACTAGGG